CACACACACACAAATATTTCATATTATTGGTCTGGAATGGATATGGATCTAAGTGGTAGAAAACCTGCCTAGCAAGCCATCTGTACAACACCTTAATAATAACAAAATTATATTTTTTAAAACATCAATACTTTTGGTAATGTGGTTCAAGTGGTAGGCGCATCAGCCTAACAAACACATGACACTGTGTTCAAATCCCAATACCAGCAAAAAAAATGAATGAATGAATACCTTTTACGTTTTTCCGTGGTTTGGAGGACTTTTCCTTCAAACTCTGATTTTTAACAGATTTTTGTTTTCTTTTCTCTTCTTCAGCAAGAACTTTCTGAAGTAAATGAGCAAAAAAATCGAAGTCAAAAGGACGTTTTTCTTCTGTTTAAAAAAAAATAAAAGGAAAATAACCTTCAAGTTATTTTTTTAAAGAAGGAAAGTACTTTGTCATTTGTAAAGAATCATATATCAAAAACAGACTTATCACTAGGACCATGGATAAACAAGTAGATAATAGAACACCAGTCAGCAATAAAAGAAAAAACTGTGGAGTGTAGCTGAGAGGCAGAGCACTTGTCTAGCATGTGCAGACCCTCAGTTGTAGCATATACTAAGTGAATATGTGGGAATTCAAATGAAAATAGTGGTTGCATTGAGCCAGTAGGATAGATTTTGTTTTTCGGGGGTTTTTTGGGGCGTCCGGTCGTGGGGCCTGAACTCTGGGCCTGGGCGCTGGCCCTCAGCTCTTCAGCTCAAGGCTAGCGCTCTACCACTCTACACTGAGCCACCTTCCCAGCCCAAGGATAGATTTTGTTTGATTAGAACAGAAACCAAGAAAAATTCTGAAATAACAAAAATGTTCCATATATGATTTGGAGTAATGGTACATGTATATTCTTCACCAGTTTCAAACTACACTCTGAATTGCCTGTAATGTAAAGGCTGTTCAGTAACAGTGCTCATTCTTATTAGCTAGCACAAAATACTGGATTTAATCTCCAACAACAAATAACAAAATGTGAAGATGATTAAGTCTTCAAAATGCCTATCTTTATAGGCATTTTTAATCATTTCACTATTTACTCCCTCCCCAAATAGCAGTAAAGGAACATATTTAAATACCCAGCAGCACCACTATATCAAAAAATAATAATAATAATCAAGCCAGGCACCCAGTGGCTCACTCCTGAAATCCTAGATAGCTACTCAGGAGGCTAAAATGTGAGGATCAAGGTTCAAAGCCAGTCCGGGGAGAAAGTCCGTGAGACTCTTATCTCCAAGAAAAACACAAGAAAACCGAAAGTGCCGGGGTGGCTCAAGTGGTAGAGTGTTCACCTTGAGCTGATGATCTGAGGGACAGAACCCAGGCCCAAAGTTCAGACCCCACAACCGACCAAAAAAAAAGCTCAGGAACAATGTTCAAAACGGAGTTCAAGCCCCAGGCATATACACACTCACACAAATACTCACACACCTATACACACAAGGATTCTCAACTGTCCTGATTGCCACTTGATATAAACATCTATACACAGCAGGTGGTCAGTGCTGATGACTTAGTGATAAGTTGACAGCAGGAAGGATTCATCTATAGTGTTCTATTTTCCAGAAACAATCTTTTAAACTTAGTCCCTCACAATAAACACCTAGCACTGGTACTATCAGACCCTTGGTAATCTCTTGGCAAGGACTCTTAATCTGCTTCTAGATATTTTAACTAATCCTTTGTCAATGGATTTGTAGCATTACTAAAACCAGGATGTTAAATAGAAAATTTCCAGTCTTATGCTTCCTAACCAATATAAAGACAAATCTAGAACACACTAAAGTGAAAGAAAAATATTGGACATTTTTAGCCTCTCCAAATGATAAAGGAAGGCATTATTACTTACGGAATGCTTTGTCTATTCTCCATCCATTTGTTTTCTCTTCACGTTTAAATTTATTCTGTTAACAACAAAAAAAAGTCAAGAAATGTAACAATTTTCCTCAAATTATTGAAGAATATTTGGAGGTTTATACCTAAATTATGGCAACTTAGGAGGCTGAGATCTGAGGATTAAGATTCAAAGGCAGCTAAAGCAGCAAAGTCCATGAGGCTATCATCACCACTTAACTACCAAAAAGTTGGAAGTGGAGCTGTGGCTAAAGTGACAGAACACTAACGTTGACCACAAAAGCTCAGAAACAATAACCAGGCCCTGAGTTAAAGCCACAGGGTTTTAACTTTAGTATCCATGAAGATACAAATACACAGTAAAAATCTCATTCATTTTGCTAAAATACAGTAAAAATAATGTAACACTAGGAGGAGTGCCAGTGGCTCACGTCCATAATCCTAGCTACTTAGGAGGCTGAAATTTAAGGATCTCAGCCTGGACAGGAAAAGTCCATGAAACTCTTATCTCCAATTAACCTCCAGAAAACCAGAAGTTGTGCTGTAGCTCAAGTGGTAGAGCTTGCTCCCCTTGAGCTAAAGAGCTCAGGGACCAGGCCCAGGCCCAGAGTTCAAGCCCCAACAAAACAAAACAAAACCAAAAAAATTAACACTAATGTATGTTTATCCCATATTTTTGCTTAAAAAAAAAATGCTTGAGTGGGGAGCTGGAAAAGTGTCTCAGTGGTTGAGTGCTTGCCTCACATGCGTGAGACCCTGGTTCTGTTTCTCAGCTCCATATAAGCTAAAAACACTGCAAGTGATGCTGTGGCTCTCAAGTGGTAGAGCGCTAACCTTGAGCTGAAGAGCTGAGGGGCAGTGCCCAGGCCCAGAGTTCAGGCCTCACAACCAACAAAAAAAAAAAAAAAAAGACTCTACTGCAGGGCACTGGTAACTCATACCTGTAATCCTAACTACTAAGGAGGCTGAGATCTAAGAATTATGGTTCAAAGCCAGCCCAGGCAGGAAAGGCCATGAGATTCTTATCTCCAATTAACCACCAGAAAACCAGAAGTGGCACTGTGGCTAGAAGTGGTAGACTGCTAGGGCTGGGAGAGTGGTTCCGTGGTAGAGCGCTTGCCTTGCATGCGTGAGGCCCTGGGTTCGATTCCTCAGCACCACATAAGCAAAAAGAAAAAAGCCGGAAGTGGCGCTGTGGCTCAAATGGTAGAGCTTTTGAGCTGAAGAGCTGAGGGATAGCGCCCAGGCCCATAGTTCAGGCTCCATGACAAGCAAAAAAGGAAAAAAAAAAAAAAAAACAGAAGTGGTAGACTGCTAGCCTTGAGTGGAAGAACTCAAGTATAGCACCAAAACCCTGAATTCCAGCCCTGTGACCAAGGGGGAAAAAAAAAATATTCAAACTATTCTGGCATATGTGTCTTCTCTTTATATCAACACTTAAATTCAGTGCCTTTATCAGTACACTCTCAAACATATTTGAGAAATAAGAATGATAGAGATGTATCTGTATTTGAACTGAGAAACCTTATTTGCTTTTCAAGTAATAAAGGAGAAATAGTAAAGGAAAAAACTGTCACTGGGCACCAGTAGCTCATGCCTGTAATCCTAACTACTCCTAATTACTGAGATCTGAGGATTGTGGTTCAAAACCAGCCCAGTCAGAAGAGTCCCCGTGAGACTCTTATCTCCAATAAACTACTCAGGGACAGTGCCCAGGCTCAAGTTCAAGTCCCAGGACAGGCAAAAACAAAACAAAAAACTGTCATTTAAACCAGACGTGTATTTGTATTTTTTTACCTTTTATATGCAAAATATATTTTAATATTATATATATAGTACAAGATACACATATATGTGTGCATACACACACACATACACACACATTTAAAACTTTGCAGATTGTTTCCAAACAAGCATGTTAAGTTTACTTTACCTTAATTTCTATTCTTGCTCTGTGAGGAAAAAGTTGTCCAATCATAGAAAAGTCCGTTCCTACCATGCTGATGGCTAAAAAAAACATATCTGTTTCTGTAAAAATAAAAGATTTAAAATAACCAAAAAGTAATCTTTTTAAAAACAAAATTAAGAGAAACATTATGTATGAGTTTAAAAATTCACAGTACTTAATTTCATGGGCTAGAAGCTAACGGTATGCATAAAAGCATCTTTTTTTCCTTTTTTGGTCAGCCATGGGGCTTGAACTCAGTGCTATCTCTGGGTCTTTTTGCTTAAAGCAAGCGTTCTACAGAGCCACTTCCAGTTTTCTGGTGGTTAACTGAAGGTAAGAATCTAATGGGCTTTCCTGCCTGGGAAGACTAGGATTACAGGGGTGAGCCACCAGCGCTCAACTATAAAAGCATCTTCAACAATCCAAAAAAAGGGCATTAGTAATTTTTGTGTTCATACAAAGCAGCTAATTTTTTTTATCTGACCTCACTTTAAATGTCTTTAAAAGACTACCATCCATGGCCAGCATTGAGTTATGTGTCCAACTAAGATGAGCTAAATAGCGTATGAATAAAGTAGCTAAGGATGGGACTGGTAGTGCATGCCTGAAATCCTAGCACTTGGGAGGCAGAGGAGGATTTTGAGTTCAAAGCCATCTAAACTACACAGAGAGATCCAGTCAAAAAGACAAAAAGAAACCTGGGTGCTAGTGTCTCCCCCTTATATTCCTAGTTCCTCAGGAGGCTGAGATCTGAGGATCACAGTTTAAAGCCAGCCCAAGTAAGAAAGACTTGGAGATTCTTATCTTGGAGCACTGTGGTAGAAGTGTTAGCCTTGAGTTAAAGAGCTTCAAGAACAGTACACAGGCCCTGAGTTTAAGCCCCATGACCAACCCAAAAAGAGAGAGAGAGAGTGCAGAAGAGCAGAGGGTCAGTGGCTCACACCTGTAATCCTAGCTACTCAGAGCACTGAGATCTGAGGATCACAGTTTGAAGTCAGTCAGCCTGGGCAGGAAAGCCTGAGACTCTTATCTCCACTAAACTACAAAAAAAAAGCCAGAAGTAGAGCTGTGGCTCAAGGGGTAGAATACTATTCTTGAGCAGAAAAGCTCAGGGACCCAGAATACTAATCTTGAGCAGAAAAGCTCAGGGACCCAGACCAGGCCCAGAGGTCAAGCCCCAGAAGGGGAGTGGAGAGAGAGAGAGGGAGAGAGAGAGAAAAAAAAGAGAGAAAGAGGGGGGAAGAAAGAATATAGTAGTGGAGCACCAGTGGCTCACACCTGTAATTCTAGCTACTCAGGAGGCTGAGATCTGAACATCACAGTTCAAAACATCACAGTTCAAAGCCAGCCTGGGCAGGAAAGGCTATGAAACTTTTATCTCCAATAAACCACCAGAAAAATCAAAAGTGGTACTGTGGCTCAAGTGGTAGAACACTAGCTTTGAGCTGAAGAGATTGAAAGACAGCATTCAGGCCCAGAGTGCAAGCCCCATGACCAACAAAAAAAAAAAAGAAGATAGTAAGGAATGTCTAACGGGAAAAATACATGAGAAACTTGATAAAACTTGGTGAAAGTGACAGAAAATAGAATTATACAATCTTTTTATTCTACATCCTCTACCATATTTGAATTTTCTCACAAAGCTCTAATACTTCTGTGTGCATGCGACAGCACTGGGGCTTAAATTCTGGGCCTTGGGCTCTCAGTTGGCTTTTTAGCTCACAGCTGGTGCTCTACCACTTGACATAGGCCTACAATTCCAGTTTGTTACTAGTTTATTGGAAGATAAGAGTCTCTGCCTGGCTGGCTTCCAATCTTACTATTTTATTTTTTGGTGGCAGTGCTTGGTTGAACTCAGTGCCTGGGCACTATCTCTGGGCTCAAAAGTCTACCACTTGAGGCATGGCTCTAGTTCTGACTTTTGGGTGGTTAATTAAAGGTAAGAGTCTAATGGACATCCCTGCTGGGCAGGCTTCAAATGTAGATTCTCAGATCTCAACCTCCACAATAGCTAGGATTATAGAAGTAAACCAATGGTGTACAGCTCCAATCCCAACTCTCATAAATCAGCCTTCTGAGCAGCTAGGCTATAAGGTATAAGTAACCAGCATTTGGCTTCTGCTGTATAACAGAAAACACTAACAAGCCCCACCATTGTTTCTGGGGTTTGAACTCAGGATCTTCACTTGCAAGGCATGTACTCTACCAAGTGAGAGAGAGAGAGGGAGAGAGAGAGAGAGAGACACACACACACACACACACACACACACACACACCCCATACTTGCAAGGCATGTACTCTACCAAGTGAGAGAGAGAGAGGGAGACACACACACACACACACACACACACACACATATGGGATAGATTTTTTTGAGACAGTCAATTATGTTGCCTAGGATAGCCCTCGAACTTGCAATCCTCCAGTTTCCATCATTTGCTTTTCCTTTTCTTTTTTTTTACCTCCACCTATTGTACACTGGATTATATATTTATAGACATGAACTAGGTACTACCTACAGTAGTAGGTAGTAGGAAGGGTCTATGTAGACTAGGCTGGCCTTGTGTTTCTATTTTAGCTGCTGGAAGTACAGGCAAGTGTCACCAACACTAGGCTAAGTAACATAATTTACCAAGACAGATTTTATTACACAATACTATCTGACATAGAACATTATGACTTTAGAAATGTTAATTTTCCATACAATTTTTTTTTTTTTTTGCCGGTCCTGGGGCACTGTCTCTGAGTAGCCACAGTGTTACTTCCAACTTTTTCTACTCATGTGGTACTGAAGAATTGAACCCAGGGTGTCATACATGCTAACAAAGCACTCTACTACTAGGCCACATTTGCAGCCCTTTTTTCTCCTTTTTTTTTTTTGTCAGTGGTAGGGCTTAAATTCTGGGCCTGGGCACTGTCCCTCAGCTCTTCAGCTCAAGGCTAGTGCTCTGTCACTAGAGCCACAGCACCACTTCCAGTTTTCTGAGTGGTTTACTGGAGATAAGAGTCTGATGCCCCAGGCTAGGAAGGTGGCTCAGTGATAGAGTGCTTGCCTTGCATGCGTGAGGCCCTGGGTTCAATTCCTCAGCACCACATAAGCAGAAAAAGCCAGAAGTGGCTGGGCGCTGGTGGCTCACGCCTGTAATCCTAGCTACTCAGGAGGCTGAGATCTGATGATCGCGGTTCAAAGCCAGCCAGGGCAGGAGAGACCGTGAGACTCCTATCTCCAATAAAACCACCAGAAAACTGGAAGTGGCGCTGTATCTCAAGTGGTAGAGCGCTGGCCTTGAGCTGAAGAGCTGAGGGACAGCGCCCAGGCCCAGAGTTCAAGCCCCACGGCTGACCAAAAAAAAAAGAAAAAGCCAGAAGTGGCAATGTGATTCAAGTGATAGAGCTGAGGGACAGTGCCCAGGCCCAGAGTTCAGGCCCCATGACCAGAGGGAAAAAAAAAGTCTCATGGCCTCTCCTGCCCAGGCTGGTCAGATCTCGACCTCCTGAATAGCTAGGATTACAGGCATGAGCCACCACATCCAGCCTAAAAACAATTTCTAAGATACAGAGATATAGCTGCACAGGGATAGATGGAAAGTGACAATAATATTAGCTAAAGAGAAAACAACATATTAATGTACGTATTACTTAAGGGAGATCTAATCAGAAACATCAAACATCAATTCATCTCAAATAATTTTAACAAGTAATTACCTTTATTTGACCATGGTTTAGAGTAACAGTTTTTTCTAAAGCTGGAATAGGTAGTTGTAGAGCCTCGCTCAAATATAGGGTCATTTTCCTCAACAACACAGGGGCCTTTTGTCCTTAAAACTTCAACAGTTAAACTGAAAAAAGCAAATTTTCAAATAAATTCACATTAAAAATAAATAAACAGTAAATTAGATTTAAGTACTTAAATATTAAATATACAATAGAAGTCACATAAAAAGTACAAGTCACATAAAAAGTATACTAATATACCTTTGGAAAATAAGTAAAGTACATTTAAATATATATATTCAAAATAACTGTTAATTTCCACATAAATGTTATGCCCAAAATGCAGAAATAAATGTAAACCTGGTTGGAAACATGGCTTAGAGGTAGAGTGCTTGCCTAGCATGCATGAGGCCCTGTGTTCAATTCCTCGGTACCACATTTAAAAAACAACAATTAGATTAAAAAAGAAAGAAATGTAAACCTGTTCTTAAATCGATTAACAATATAAAATTTACAAAATATTCTTGGATTACTTAAAATACGTGTTTTATGCCAGGTGCCAGTGGCTCATATCTGCAACTGATTTACACAGAAGACTGAGATATGAGGAACACAGTCCAAAACCAGCCAGGACAAGAAAGTCAATGAGACTCTTTCTCCAATTAATCACCAAAAATCTAGAAATGGAGCTGTGACTTAAGTGGTAGAGCAATAGCCCTAAGCAAAAAAGCTCAGGACAGCACCCAGGTCCTGAGTTTCAAGCCCCAGGACCAGCACCAAAAAAAAAAAAGTATGGCACTCAAATGCTGTCTATACATAAACATGTATATAAATATAAATACACACTATGCTACACACAACAGGAATTTTGAGAATTATAAGTATTTCATATTTATAGCTTAGAGTCCTACAGCCAAAGCAGTTTAAATATGCTTTTACGTATTTAATAACCAGTGAAATCACCATTACAAAAACAAAAGATTAAAGGGTAGTGGCTAATATCTATAATCCAAGCTAGTCAGGAGATTGAGATTTCAACTCCTAATAATCTTGCTCATTCTCCTCTACATTAACCACATATGCCACCATAACCAACAGGAGCCTGAGATTTGAGAACTGAAATTCAAAGCCAGCCAGCCAAATCCAAGATTGTTATCTTCAATTAACCAGGGAAAAAGGTAGAAATGGAGATGTGGACTCAAAAGGCGAATCACTAGCAGTAAGGAAGACAGCAATCGGTCTGGAGTTGAAGCACCAATAGCAAGAAAAACAAAACAACAGCAGGATTCTATTCATATATCCTTATCATCAAATTTAAATGTTATATTTTTTATTAATAAAACTGTCAAAGGAGCCAGGCGCTGGTGGCTCACACCTGTAATCCTAGCTACTCAGGAGGCTGAGATCTGATGATCGCGGTTCAAAGCCAGCCAGGGCAGGAAAAGTCCATGAGACATCTATCTCCAATACACCACCAGAAAACTGGAAGTGGAGCTGTGGCTCAAGTAGTAGAGCGCTAGCCTTGAGCTAAAGAGGTAAGAGACAGTGCCCAGACCCAGAGTTTAAGCCCCATGCCCAACCAAAAAAAAAAAAAAAAAAAATGCCAGACACCAGTAGCTATAATCCTAGCTACTCAAGAGACTGAGATCTGAGGATCATGGTTCAAAATCAGCCCAGGCTGGAAAGTCCATGAGACTCTTATCTCCAACAAACCACTCAGAAAACTGAAGTGGCGCTATGGCTCAAGTGGTAAGAGCTGAAGAGCTGAGGGACATCTCGTAGGCCCAGAGTTCAAGCCCCATGACGGACAAAAAAAAAAAAAAAAAAACACCAGAAAACCAGAGATGGCACTGTGTCTCACATGGTAAAGCACTCACCTTGAGCTGAAGAACTGAGGTACAGCACCCAGGCCAGACCGACCAAAAAAAAATAGAGGCTGAGATCTGAGAATCGCAGTTTGAAGTCCACTGGGCAGAAAAGTGTCCATAAGACTCTTATCTCCATTAACCTACTCAGAAAAGCCGTAAGTTGCCCTGTGACTCAAGTGGTAGAGCACTAAGCCTTGAACACAAAGAGATTCAGGGATAGTAACCCAGGCCCTGAGTTCAAGCCTCAGTACTGGCAAAAAAAAAAAGAAAGAAAGAAAAGAAAAGAAAAAAGGAAAGAAAAACACCTATCAGAAGCAAACTATAATAGGAAATACCACTGATTTTATTTTTTAGAATGAGAAGAAATTGGAGGTAGTTCAATGTGTGTGAGGCTCTAACTTTGATCCCCAGTACTGAAAAAAGAAAAACAAATAGAAGAATATACATGACAGAATATAAGATGAGATGCTTACTCTCTTGTTTGAACTGGAGTCACTGATTTTTCATTTTTCTTTTCTTGTTCCAGTGAAGAACTATTAAACACAAATGACAAAAACTTTAGGGCTAGTAATGTGCTTAGCGGTAAAGTGCTTGCCTAGCATGCAAGAAGCCCAGGGTTCGATTCCTCAGTACCACATAAACAGAAAAGGCCAGAAGTGGTACTGTAGCTAAAGTGGTAGACCACTAGCTGTGAACACAAAGAGGCTCAAGGACAAAGGCCAGGCCCTGAATTTAAGCCCCAAGACCGGCAAAAAAAAAAAGACAAAAATTTGAATTATCAATTTACATGTTATTGATTAACTTCTCTGTATTTTTTTAATATGGTATAACACTTCAATTTTGCAGTTATAACCTGAGAAATTAGCTCAGTTTGTGTTTACCATGCCCAGCCTAGGATTTTATTCCCAGCACAAAAAATAGCTGGGCACTAGTGACTAAAATCTGTAATCCTGGGACTGGGAAGGTGGCTCAGTAGTAGAGCACTTGCCTTGCATGCATGAGGCCCTGGGTTCGATTCCTCAGCACCACATAAGCAGAAAAAGAAAAAGAAAGCCAGAAGTGGCACTATGGCTCAAGTGATAGAGTGCTAGCTTTGAGCTGAAGAGCTGAGATACAGTGCCCAGGCCCAGAGTTCAGGCCCCATGACTGGACCCCAAAAAAAATAAAATAAAATAAAATAATCTGTAATCCTTGCTACTCAGGAAGCTAAGAACTGGGATCATGGTTAAAAACCATGGCAAAAACCAACACTGGCAGGAGAGTCTATGAGACTCCAATTAGCCATCAAATAGCCAAAAGTGGAAGTATGGCTCTCAAGTGGTAGAATACTAGCCTTGAGGAAAAAGTTCATGCGTAGGCCCTGAGTTCAAGCACCAGGACCAGTGTGCACGCACACACAGACACACCAGACAGACACACACACACAGACAGACACACACACACACAGACAGACACACACACACACAGACACACACAGACACACACACACACACACACAGACACACACACAGACAGACACACACACACACAGACACACACACACACACAGACACACACATACACACAGACACACACACACACACACACACACATACACGGAGCTCTAGTTGAAGTGGTAGAGCACTTACCTTGAGGGAAAAAAAGCTCAAGGACAGCTCCCAGGCACTGAGTTCAAGCCCCAGGACTCATATACACACACACAAAACAAGAAGTTTTGTCCTTGAAGGATTTAATCCTTCAAATTACACTGCATTCAATTTATATTTAAAGCATGTATTAACTATACAAAAAAAGTAACAAATCCCTGGTATCTAACCTTATGTTCATTGATACATGTCCTACATGCATGTAACATAGGTTAACTTTATCCCTTCTGCACTATATTTAATTACAAAGTATGACATAAAAAGTAGACTATCTCTGGGGCTGGAAAGTTGGCTCAGTGGTAGACTGCTTGCCTTGCATGCATGAGGCCCTGGTTCAATTCCTCAGCACCACATAAGCAGAAAAAGCCAGAAGTGCTGCTGTGGCTCAAGTGGCAGAGCACTAACATTGAGCTGAAGAGCTGAGGAACAGTGCCCAGGCCAAGAGTTTAGGCCCCCTCTTCATATTTATATAAAATAATATACATACTGAAATGAACGCCAAGAGACCTTTTTTAATTCCTTTATTATTTTAGTTTTTAGTTTTTGATGATTCTGTCTTCTTTACCTCATGTATGGAGTATTCAAGCGGACAGCTGCAGAAGGGTGGGAGGGAGAGAAGACAACTCAAGGGAAAAAGGGCAGAAGTGGAGCTCAATGAACACTGAAGAAAAGTAAATCTATACAAATCATGAGTGGAAATAGGAGGGAGGGAATAGAAAAGAATGAGGGAAAAGAAGAAACTACACAAAAGGAAATGGACTCATTACCTGACTCATGTAAGTATAATCCCTCTGTATGTTTCCTTTTTAATAACAATCAAGTAAATTGTTTTTTTTTAAACTAGATCAGGGGCTGGGAAGGTGGCTCAGTGGTAGAGTGCTTGCCTTGCATGCATGAGGCCTTGGGTTCGACTCCCTAGCAACACATAAGCAGAAAAAGCTAGAAGCAGCTCTGTGGCTCAAGTGGAAGAATGCTAGCCTTGAGCTGAAGAATTGAGGGACAGCACCCAGGCCCAGAGTTCAGGCCCTTACAACCAGCAAAAAAAAAAAGCTACATCATACCTTCAGCCAGATTATAATAAGAAACAGAACTTGCAACTTAATTAGAAAAAGGTGTCTAGTTGGTTTTACTACAATACAGGTAACTAATATAACAAAACAAACTTAATTCTAATCTTAGTGATAAGGGGCACCATTAACCATTCAAACAAGCAGTTACTTGATGGAAATGGAGCTCAGCAGTAGTGTCAGCAGTAAAGAGTGTACTTAACACAAGTGAAGCCCTGAGTTCAATTACCAGCACAAAAAGACAAGAAAAATAGTTTTTGTTTAAAACAATTTACCTAAAAAGACAGCATAACACCATAAATCTTACCAATATGCTTTTGGAAAACAAGAAACTTTAAAAACAAGTATTTTACTTACGCCATGGGATTTTTATCGGGAAGATAATATATGAAGTCTCTCATTGTCATTTTTGAACGATCTGCTATCTTCTGGCTTTCATTTATACCGTATTTGTTTTTCCATTGTTTCTATATAAACAAACACATACAGACCCATTTTATAAACATAGAAAAAATGCTTTATGCTGATTACTACCCCAAAACAATTTGTAATAAACATTAAAAAGGGCTGGGAATGTGGCTTAGTGGTAGAGTGCTTGCCTAGCATGCATGAAGCCCTGGGTTCATCTCACAAACAGAAAAAGCGAGAAGCGCTGCTGTGGCTCAAGTGATAGAGTGCTAGCCTTGAGCAAAAGCAACTCAGAGACAGTGTCTAGGCCCTGAGTTCCAGCCCCAGGACTGGCAAAAAATAAAATAAATAATAATAAAAATAAACATTAAAAAGTTGTAGCAGGTAAGAAATGTACGCATTATCCTGCCCATGTAATTGTAACCCCTCTGTACAGTATGTTCACAAATAAAATAAAATTAAATAAAAAAAATTTTTTAAAAAGAGTTAAAAAAAGAAAAGTTGTAGCAAAGCCTGGCTACTTAGGAGGCTGAGACCTGAGGATCATGGTTCAAAGCTAGCCCAGGCAGAAAAATCCATGAGACCCTTATCTCCAATAAACTACTCAGAAAAAGGCTAGAAGTGACACTGTGGATCAAGTGGTAGAGTACTAGCCCTAAGCACAAAGAGGCTCAGGGACAGCATCAAAGCACCAGTACCAGCAAAAATAAAGTTGGCTGGGAATATGACTTAGCAGTAGAATGCTTGCTTCACATGCATGAAGCTCTGGGTTCAATTCCTCAGTACCACATCAACAGAAAAAGCTGGAAGTGGCACTGTGGCTCAAGTGGTAGAGTGCTTACCTTGAGCTGAAGAGCTCAGGGAGGGGGGGGG